TCCTTGTCCTTGATCTTTGCCATTTTAATTATTATGTGTCTTGGTGTTGTCCTCCTTGGTTCCCTTCTGTTGGGAGTTGTGTGTACTTCTGTGGTCTGATCGATTATTTCCTCCCCCAGTTTGGGGAAGTTTTCAGCCATTATTTCTTCAAAGACACTTTCTATCCCTTTTTCTCTCTCTTCTTCTGGTACCCCTATAATGTGGATATCTTTCCTTTTGGGTTGGTCACACAGTTCTCTTAATATTGTTTCATTACTTGGGATTCTTTTATCTCTGTGTCAGCTTCTATGTGTTCCTGTTCTCTGGCTTCTATTCCATCAGTGGCCTCTTGCATCTTATCCATTCTGCTTATAAATCCTTCCAGAGATTGTTTCATTTCTGTAATCTTCCTCCGGACGTCATCCCTTAGCTCTTGCATATTTCTCTGCTGCTCCGTCAGCATGGTTATGACCTTTATTTTGAATTCGCTTTCAGGAAGATTGGTTAGGTCTATCTCTCCAAGCTCCTTCTCAGAGGCTGTCTCTGTGATTTTGGTCTGTATCAAATTCTTCTGCCTTTTCACGGCGAGAGAGGTAGTTGTGGGGAGCTGGCACGTGTGATGGCTGGGAGAACCATCCCTTCTTGCTGGTTTGTGGCCTTCCTCTCCTGGGAGAACAGCGACCTCTAGCGGCTTGAGCTGGGCAGCTGCGCACAGACGGGGCGTCTGATTCTTGCCTGACCGCTGTGGAGTTAAGCTCTGCGGTTGCTGTGGGCGTGGCCTCTCTCAGGCTGCTGCTCCAATATGGCCGAGCCGTGTTGGAGGGGAAACAGGCAGGAGGCTGTTTATCGCCGTGAGGGGCCTCTGAGCTGTGCTGCCACCCAGGGGGTTAGGGCGCCCGGAGTTCCCTGGGATTCCCAGCTGCTGGGCTAAGTGTCCCAGGACACTTCCGTCCAGCTTTGGGGTCCCTGTCCCTTTAAAACTTTCAAAAAGCACTCGCTTTTCTTTGTCCCGGGGGTGCCAGCCGCGGAGACCCGCTCACAGGTCTTGCTGCCCTGTTTCCCTAGTGTCCAGCACCCCACGCATGCACTGTGTCTGTGCTCAGGTGCTGATGGCTGGGGCTGGGCGTTCAGCAGTCCTGGGCTCCCTGTCCCTCCCCGGTCCAACTCCTCTCTTCCCGCTGGGAGCTGGGGTGAGGGGTGCTTGGGTCCCACCGGGCCGCTGCTTGTATCTTACCCCCTTCACGAGGCGCTGGGTTCTCGCAGGTGTAGATGTAGTCTGGCTGTTGTCCTGTGTCTTCTTGTCTCCCTTTTAGGAATAGTTGTATTTGTTATATTTTCAAAAATATGTATGGTTTTGGGAGGAGATTTCTGCTGCTCTACTCACGCCGCCATCTTGGCTCCTCCCCCAGGATTACCTTTTAAAAACATTTTTAATAGAAATATTCAAACATGGACAGATGAGAAGATGTGTGCATGACAAAGAATATAAGGAACATGGCCCCAAGTGCCCATCCCCCAGCCCTGACAGTTGTCCCCCACCCTTGCCAACCTTGATGTGCCTTACTGGCCTCCCAATCCCTTGTTTGGCTGCAGTCAGTCCTCATGGAGTGTCATGTGTCTCACAGATGAGCACCTATTACTTTTTAATTTAAGCCCTAGGCCATCTCACATGTAATATGATTAACAGTCATTCCTCAGCATCATGGATTGACTCTCGGCCACCTGGGGTCAGGGCCAGGCCTATACCAGAATATCCAGGATCAGCTTTGGCCCTTCCGCCCCCCTGCCCATTTACCCCTTTGCCCGTCTGCCCTCTGCCTCTGCAGCTGTCACCTGGCTCTTACTTCCACTTGCTGTTCTCACAGTGTGAATCATTCCTATTCTCAAACTTCAGTCCCCACAGCCAGAACTGGCTTTGCTGAGAACATAATTAAATCCCTTAATAGTCTGAGTGTCTTAATGTCCTTCCCTTCACTATAGGTAATATCAGGATATTGTGGAAACTGTGATTTCTGAGATGTTTTTTAGAAACATAGCTGTGTGTAGTATGTTACTAAGAAAAATTTATAATCTTCCCCTGTCTGGTTGATATTGAGAGTCTTAGTTTTGTTATAAATCACTACAGTTGTAACCATTCATTAAGTGTCCCTTCATGTGTGGCATTTTCTGATTAATGCTGAATGCTCAGGCCCACGGAGGCTAGGTTGGACTTTGACGTTTGTGGTGTTTGGTGAGGGGCTGGAAAAAATGGCCAGTGTTCCCAAGCCGTGCCCTGCCAATGACATAGTAAGAGCATCTCAAGTCTCTGAATGTAACTTCAATTTAAACAATCAACTGACTGCCTTATTGCACAGGTAGCAGGTCACTGATTTGAAGGTTGTTTGTGCTCATGTGCAGTGTCAGCAGTGTGTTGGGCCTCTGTGCTATTGCTGTCATTTTCCAGGGTGTCTGTGTGGCCCTGTGTGGCACTCTCCCCATATTGAGTGCTGATGTCACAACTAATCAGAAACCCAGCAGCTTCCTAAGTACTATCTTCCCTCACGGTATTAAAGGCCCGTAACTGTAATGGTGAAGAATGGTGGTGTATGGTATTGATTACGTGTTCACCAGAGACTTATCTAATTTTAGGTAGCAGGAAAAACCACAAACCCCTCTGAGTGAATTTGCATCTTTGTCATATGGTAAGAAAGCTACATGAGCAGGTGTAATTTTCAGATAGATTTAAACTTCAGTTTTTGTTTCCTTTGTGAAAATGGTCTCTACTGGGAGGGAAGTTCCCTTTAAAAAGAATTAATAGTCTCCAAAAATAATTTAGAGTAAACTTTTCACCAGAAAAGCCAAACTTTATGATGACTTTCAGAAACCAGTAGCCAGTATTAGGATGGCCAACTTCACCTTGTGGGCCCAACTTCCCTTGAGGTGGCCCCACGCGCGTGCTGGGGAGGACGGGGCGGCTGGGCCCAGCACAGCACAGGCGTCCTCAGGGGAAGGGTCCTGGCTCCTCCAGCTGGGACGGGCAGGCCACACAGTATCCCCCCTCGCCACCCTGCAACCCGAGGACCCCTCGCCTTGCCTTGGTGTCGTAGAGTGATGGAAGCTTCAGATCATTTCTACAAACACTGGCAATGGGCCTTGTTTTAGAAAAGTTCAAATATTCCATTTTTATATTACAACCCAAAAATTCTTTTAAATTCGAATTCTTGTAAGTGAAAACTTTTCTGAGAGTTCTTCAATTGTATTTACTAAGTAACTTTATACACTTTTATATTTAAGCAGGATGAATTTAGATTTTTTCCCCCTAGTGTTAACACAATATTGAAGAAACTCAAAGAAAACTTGCCATCTCTTAAATTCTGTGTTAATTTTTATATTTCCCTGTTTGCTTTTGTTTTTTTTCCTTAAACAGCTATAATTGTATAAGCATGGTTCATTGGTGATGTTTTTATATAGTTATTTCATCTGTATATTGATGATACATTATGTGAATTTGTCATAATTCAGCTCCTCTGTGTCAGTGGATATTTAGATTATTTATAATTTTCCTGTCATCAGAAATGCTTAGGGGACATGTTCATCTTTGGAAGGACTTTTTTTTTCTACTTCTGAGTGACATTTTTAGAATATATTCCCATAGAATTGCAGGGCAAACAAAAAGCAAGATGCGTCTTGGCTCTGGATGAGTATGGCCAGGTTGCTTTCTGAAGACTCTGTACGGCCGCGCCATCACCAGCAGGCCGAGAGCGGACCCACCGCTGTGACGGGCACCGGCGTCCCCGTGGGGGTGCAGAGGGGGGCCACTGGTGTCTGCCGCAGAGCACAGGAGGTGAAAGTGCCCTTTCAAGGACACAAATGCACATTTCAGTACTGCAAACCCTTTGCACATCTTTTAAAGGTGATACAGTTTTTTGTTGCCCCTTACTGGCTCTCCCTGACTGTTCACAGAGCCGTCATTCTCCCGGACGTGTGTGTGCGTACTTAGCACTTACTGTAAAGTTTCAACAAGCCCGCAGCAGAGAGGGAGGCTTCATGGTACTTATGATTATAACTCTGCACAGCTTTGAGCTGTCGGCACTTTTAAAGAATTAATGACTTAATGGGTATTCTTTTAAATAGAAATATGAGATGCCAGATAAAAATTGAGTAATGTATACCTGTGTATGTATAGAAAATGGTGACCAAGCGACATTTTCTTCATGTCTGGTCTCTTTGGCTGGAGGCCACAGCTGTACTGGCCTCAGCAGCTGAGGCAGGTGGAATTGTGCACGGCAGTGTCTGCTCAGGTGCCGGCAGGAGCATCTTTTAAGAGTGCTTCTTGCCCTTTGCTTTGTGTGTCTCTGTCCCACACTGCCATGTGAATTATATTATTTCCTGAAAGTCCAGCTCATGTCTTTGCTCTTTGTTCCCTTTGTCCACCTAAATTTTCCTTCTCACCACCTACTTTTCTTTTTACCAGCCATTCTTCACACTTGTACCTCCTGCACCGTTTTTATTGCCATTTTTGTGAATAAAGGGCAGCCAGGCTGCTCATCCTATTCTGTCCATTCTGCTCCCTCTGTGCCTTCAGATACCGCTTCCTTCAGAGCCAGCCACCAGAAACCTCAATTTGTACTGTGTGTGGAGCCTCAGAACCCATCTCAAAGAGCCAGGCAGAGTTCTTGTTTGGGGCGGGTCTGTCCTTCAGTTTGTCTGCTCTGTTCAGGTGGGATTGAGGCAGCAAAGGACAGGCTGGGGTGGGGATGGCTGTCACTGGCTGCCCTCACGTTCAAGTCCTAGAGCATTTGCCGAGGCGAGGCTGGTGAGCGGCTTACTGCTTAAGCATCCAGAGGACCTGGCAGAGTCGATTCCTACCTGGCCTCTTCCCCAACAGCAGCATCCCACAAAGGGTGGAGGTAACAGGTGTGGAAGGAGATGTGCAGAAGGTTCTAGACAGACACAGGTCTCCTCAGCAGGTTTCACTGTTTCCACAGACAAACTCAGGGCCTCTTGTTCTGTTTCTTCCCGTTAGACCCCAGAGCCAGAAGTGGAACCGCCACGAGCGCCGGAGCCGGAGCAGGGGCTGTACGAGCTCTCAGCCAGCAACTTTGAGCTGCACGTCGCACAGGGTATGGTGGGCCGATCTCACGGGTGTTCACAGCCCACAGCCTCGTAGAGCCCCTGACCGTTCACTGCTCCTTGATCTGCCGGGCTTTTCCTTCCCACTACTTGAGGGCTGGTAGATCTGCATCTGTGGCGGCACATTTCTCAAGACCTGCTAGATTATTTCTACCTTTATATTTATAGAAAAGCCAGTTGTAATGCTGAGCTAAATAAAGCCTTAGGTGTGGAAAGCTCACAAATCATTTAATTTGTATACTAATTAGTATATATTTCATTTGTACATTAGTTGGACAGTGCATCATTGGATAAGAAAGTGTTTATTTATATCAATGTTAATCATATACTTATTGACCTGAAGCAGAACCCAATCTTTCTTACTGGTTTAAACCAGAGTTTAGTGGGACCAGTAGAACATGGGAATCAGAGTAGGTGTTCTTTACACCGAAGATATTTTTCTGTACCACATCTCATATTTTGAAAATGGTCTGTGCACAGTTTCTAATGTTAATAATATGTAAGTCCTTTCTTCACGCATTTCTGAAGAGTTGGCTTGGCAACAAATGACTTGAGTATGAATGTGGCTTCTTTGCTGGCCTCCATCCTCAAATGCTACCAGGGAGAGAAATCCTCCCATAAGCCTGGGTTGGGAGCGTTGTGGAAAAGGGCTTAAAATTGTATCCAGCCCTGTAACTTCATGCCTGCTGAAAGTAGAAGCCACCTACTTTATATCCCCCCCACCATACTTACAGTCTAAAATAACTGAATGCAATGCCTTCAGCCTTTTTCCATTTTTATTAATTTTTCTGACAGTGGAACTTGAGGCAGTTTTTTTGTATGGGGATTCCCTTTCATCTGAGATGGGCCTGGGCTCCCTGTGGGATGCGCTTACCAGGATCACCTTGTTACAGACTTTGTCCCGCCAGCCCAGCCCAGTCCCTCCCTAAAAGCAAGGCACTGGGGAAGGGCGGCATCTGGAGGGACTGCCCTGTGCTGCCCACGTGCAGATCCTTCCTCAAAGGGGCACTAGCCTCCTGCCGCTACGGCCTATTGTTGATACTCCAGTGGATTCCTGGACCCCTTGTCTCTACCTCACAGCACAAGGGTAGTGAGGTGCCTGTCTGGAGAGACATGGTTTCAACCTTAGGGATCAGGTGCTAATGTTTTGATGCGAGTTTTTCAGCATTTCCCTCCAATGCATCATAACCCGCTGTCCTGCACATTGGCATGGCAGTGTCTGCTGTGAGCCTGTCACATTTCAGTGACCATTGGATAGTTCTGTCCCTGGTCTCAGCCTGATTTCAGTTTGGGCTCAGCCTGACCTCTCTGAGGCCCCTTAGGCTGGTCAGTGTCCAAATAATGATGATGTGGGAGTTAGTTTTTTCTCCTAGCCCGGGGAGTGATACTAAGTTTTTAAATTTAAACCTTCTGTTTTATTGTGAAATGAAACACAGATAGAGGAAACAAATGTAGCGCTTAGCGAATTGTTACACAGGCAGACCATGCTTGATTGTGTTTCACTGGATTCACAAATGGAAGGTTTTGTGGTCTTCTACTTTGTCGAGCAAGTCTACCACAGCCGTTTTTCCAACAGCATTTGCTCACTTTGTGTGTATCACGTTTTTGTAATCATGGCCTTAATTCAAACTTGCAGTTAGTGATGACAACTGGCTGAAACCTCAGATACCGTTAGCATTTGTTAGCAAAAAAGTATTTTTAAATTAAGGCATGTTCCTTGTTTTTTAGACATAATGCTGTTGCACACTTAATAGACTACAAGATAGTGTAAACACAACTTTTCTATGCACTGGGAAACCAGAAAATTGACTTGACTCGCTCTGTTGTGATACTTGCTTGATTGCTGTAATACCTCCTAGAATTTTTTTGTATGGGGATTCCCTTTCATCTGAGATGGGCCTGGGCTCCCTGTGGGATGCGCTTACCAGGATCACCTTGTTACAGACTTTGTCCCGCCAGCCCAGCCCAGTCCCTCCCTAAAAGCAAGGCACTGGGGAAGGGCGGCATCTGGAGGGACTGCCCTGTGCTGCCCACGTGCAGATCCTTCCTCAAAGGGGCACTAGCCTCCTGCCGCTACGGCCTATTGTTGATACTCCAGTGGATTCCTGGACCCCTTGTCTCTACCTCACAGCACAAGGGTAGTGAGGTGCCTGTCTGGAGAGACATGGTTTCAACCTTAGGGATCAGGTGCTAATGTTTTGATGCGAGTTTTTCAGCATTTCCCTCCAATGCATCATAACCCGCTGTCCTGCACATTGGCATGGCAGTGTCTGCTGTGAGCCTGTCACATTTCAGTGACCATTGGATAGTTCTGTCCCTGGTCTCAGCCTGATTTCAGTTTGGGCTCAGCCTGACCTCTCTGAGGCCCCTTAGGCTGGTCAGTGTCCAAATAATGATGATGTGGGAGTTAGTTTTTTCTCCTAGCCCGGGGAGTGATACTAAGTTTTTAAATTTAAACCTTCTGTTTTATTGTGAAATGAAACACAGATAGAGGAAACAAATGTAGCGCTTAGCGAATTGTTACACAGGCAGACCATGCTTGATTGTGTTTCACTGGATTCACAAATGGAAGGTTTTGTGGTCTTCTACTTTGTCGAGCAAGTCTACCACAGCCGTTTTTCCAACAGCATTTGCTCACTTTGTGTGTATCACGTTTTTGTAATCATGGCCTTAATTCAAACTTGCAGTTAGTGATGACAACTGGCTGAAACCTCAGATACCGTTAGCATTTGTTAGCAAAAAAGTATTTTTAAATTAAGGCATGTTCCTTGTTTTTTAGACATAATGCTGTTGCACACTTAATAGACTACAAGATAGTGTAAACACAACTTTTCTATGCACTGGGAAACCAGAAAATTGACTTGACTCGCTCTGTTGTGATACTTGCTTGATTGCTGTAATACCTCCTAGACAGGCTTAAAGCAGTTGCCCTCTACCTGCCGTCCAGTTCAACAAATAAAACTTTGATGGCCTGCCCATACAGCCCTCCCACCCCTCCCCTCTCCCCCCAGGAGATGCTGTCCTGACTTTTATGGAAAACACTCTGCTTTTCTTTATGCTCATCACCTAGATCTGCATTCCAAGCACTATAGTTTACTTTGGTGTTTTTTAAAAAGCACGTATATCTTTTAGGTCTCTTAATCTGTGTGTTCTCCCCACATCTCTTCTTCCTTGCATTCTCTTTGCTGAACGCATAGGCCATTTAACATGTATGTAGTATTTGCCACAGTCTGGACTCTGCCGATTGGATCTCCATGGGGAGGCAGAACATATTTCCCTAATTTCTCTAGTTCTTGTAAATTGGTAATTAGATTTCAGGATATAAAGTTTCTGTTTGGTGTTTTTGGGGGTATGGACATAACTTCCCAGCTGATGACGTCTGTTTGTGACATCAGCAGTCACACCAGTCACTTCCTAGACCCATTCATTCATTAGGGCTGCCAAATACTGATGTCCTAATTAAAGTATGCTTTCTTCCTTTTTTTATCAAGATTGCTCTGCCCTCATTTATCACTTGGTTATATAGTGGTGTAGTTCATATAAGAGAGACAGGGTAAATGCCTGATTCTTTCCCTTTATTGCCAGTTTTCCAAATAATGAGTTGGTTCTCTGTTGTCCCTCAAAGATGACAAATCAGATTTTGATTTGAGGACCGTTAGGAACTCATGGATGTAGCCATATTTGATGGAGTCACTTTTTCCCAGCTAACGGGGTCATCCTGAACTGAGCCCCGCAGGAGGACAAAGAGCCGCTGCTTCCGTTCAGTCTCTGGTCGGGTGTGGTATAAATTACTCTCCCTCTTCCTCTTCTCTGCCCTTGGCTCTCCGCTGAAGGCGACCACTTTATCAAGTTCTTCGCTCCATGGTGTGGTCACTGCAAAGCTCTGGCTCCAACCTGGGAACAGCTGGCTCTGGGCCTTGAACATTCTGAAACTGTCAAGATTGGCAAGGTAAGTGAGAGCCCTTATTAAAGTGGAAATAGACTGCCTTTGGCTGGATTAATTAGCAGAGGAGCCCATTATTCATTCTGTGTGCAAAGTCGCAAAGTTGATTTATTAATTCCATTTAGTGTGCCACTTGATAATTCATTTCACCTTCACAGACGGCAGCCCGGTTTTGAGTGTGCTGGCTTTTCCACAGCCTAAAGATAAATTATGGCTTTGGCTCCTTTGTTTATTTTGAAGCAATGGCCAATTTGAATTGGCAGCCCCAGGGCCCTTTCTGCAAAGATATGGGCAGAGCCTTAGAGAATGTTCACTGGACGTGCTTGGAGGCGATCCACATTTGATCTCACCCAAAAGCTCTTTCCTAGAGGACCCTCAGCTCTGCTCACAAAGACATGCAGAAGACCCTCCTGTGGGGAGCCCCAGCTTATGCTGCTTTCGCACAGGTTGATATTTTCTGGAAATATCCGTAGTTCCAGAGTAGCTTCTGGGCATCAGGCACTTTTAATCTCATCCAGCTTCTGGCTCTCACCAGACATCTCTACATGGATTTCCTTTAATGAAAATCTCATTTTCTACTTTGCCAGAGGACTGATTCATATAGAGAAGTAAGGCTGCACGTCCAGGAACTATAGTTAATCAGATGATCTGCCAAGTGCAGGGAGATGGTCAGAGCATGATCTTGGAGTCAGACGGATCTGGCTGGCTGACCTTGGGCAATTTCTCCACACCTCAGTCTCCCCCTTTGTGTGGTAGTTGTGAGGAGGAAAATAAAATGCCTCATATGGTGCTTGGCATAGAGCAAATGCCCAGTAAATTCTAATAGTTGTTATTGCTAGTGAAATGGGTGTTTCACTGTTGACTGTTAAACACTGTCAATGATATAGTCTAGTCATGTATGATTATGATTCTATACTTACAGAATATTTCACAGAAGTAACATAAAGTAATTTTTCTGTCTCATACCTTTATCCTTTACTTTATGAATTTTGATGGGATATTATTTATTTTTGGTGTATATCAATAGAGGCTTTTAATAGAACTAGGCATGAACGGATGCAAAGTTATTGGGCTGTGGTCTTTGATCTCTGCCCAGACCTGTAGCTGGGTTAGACTGGACCCTAAAAATGCTGCCCACCCAGACTGGAGCTTAAGGTTTCCTGTGCTTCAGTTGAACATTTTAATAGCTCTCTGCTTCAGGCTTATCTATTAGAATTGTATTTTCATTCCATTTTGTTGATGTAGTGAAAAATAACTGAGTCCACATAGCTGACTTTAATGCCAGTAAAAACTCAAAAAGAAAAAAGTGAATTAGGATAAAATGTTCCATGCAAATGTTGAAGAATCTTAATAAGATTCAAGTGAAATTTTAAAAAATTGAAAAAAAGCTGTGATAGTTGGTAAATTGAGCTTAAAGAATTAAGGACATGTTGTAATCTTAACCTTTTTTCAGTTTTATCTTTATTATATACCAAATTCTCCTACTTAAAATTGACTACTTTTGCTCCTCAATTTTAAAACTCTCAAGTTGGAACATGAGAATAATTTCTAAGCTAGCATTGTGACTGGTTTTGGTCTCTGTCCCTGAAGCCGGCCTCCCTTCTCCCCAGATGCCAGGCCAGGCCTCCTTCTCCACCTACTGACCTGCCCAAGGTAAAGCACTGCCCCCTAAACATCAGCATTTTCAAGGGAGCTAAATAGACCAAGTCTCTAAAGGAAACCTCAGCACCCTGCTTCCTTAGCTCAGTTGTATTTTGGGGTAACTTTTAAGAAAAGTCTCGCCAGAAATGGTATCTTGCTGGCAGAGGTGCACAGGTTAGGTGCCCAGGACACCGAGTGTCTGTTGGTCCCTTTTGCAGAAAGACTCATAAAGGCACCGATCTCACTTTATTGTAGGTTGATTGTACGCAGCACTATGAACTCTGCTCAGGAAACCAGGTTCGGGGCTACCCTACTCTGCTCTGGTTCCGAGATGGCAAAAAGGTACGTGTTCTGGTCTTAGCATTGAGACAAGTATTTCTCTTAACCTTGGGGGGGATGTGTTGCCCAGTGATTAACATGTGGGGAATTACAGTGTGGATTGTGTGGGCCCTGGTTTAAAGGCATACATATAATACATATAATGTATAAGGAATATATGTAATATATATAATGTATAAGAATACATGCAATATATAAACACAAAGGTCTTTCTCTTAGCTGCTAAGATTTGGGTAGTTGGAAAACCTGTCAGTTGTTATATTCTTTTTAAACTTTGCAGTTGGCTCAGGTTATCACTAGAAAAACCCAAGCCTACCATCCTAGGGTAACTGCTCTGATCCTGACCTTTGAGCAGGGTTAGCGCTCCCTCTTGGCAAGGTTCCCACTCCCTCCCTTACATTCCTGGCCAGTGGTCATCTCAGAATGCCTAAGTCAGCACCCAACTTTTTTGTCACTGGGACACTGCAGAAGGAGTGTGCTGTGACGTTCTTACCAGTCAGACACTTGGTTTCTCATCTGTACTTGCCCATTGAACTTTGAGTGTACAAACATTGCACAACCACAGGGAATATATCTAATGGGAGTGCTTCCATGGGTATGTACGGCTGGGAAAAGGTTTGAGTGAATGAAAACACTTAGGTGTACTAACTCAGCAGCGTTTGTGTGTGGCCCGTGTTTCGCACAGGTTGATCAGTACAAAGGAAAGCGGGATTTGGAGTCGCTGAGAGAGTACGTGGATGCACAGCTGCAGAGTACAGAGGGGGACGCCCCAGAGACCATCAAGCCTTCCGAGGCCCCAGTGCTGGCCATGGAGACCACGGCTGATAAGGTGGGTGCCTGCCGCAGTCAGGATGGCCAGAAATGGCCCACAAGCTCTGCCCACGAAGAGCATTTTCCTCAAATGGTTGTTTGAGAGAGGTGGGGGCAGACGGGCAAGAAGTGTTGTGGAAGAGCTGAAAGATGGGATCGTATTTGCTGGAGAGCGTGCGGGGAAGGCTCGCATGATGCACAGAATGAGTTTGGGGACAGTACAGAGTAATTCAGGTGGTTGGCTATGGCTGATTTTTCAACATGATACATTTTCTTCAACTACTTTACGTGCTTGTAAGAGGCAGATGTAAGCAAAAGCTTCCCAGAAATAGATGTGACAAACCCTGAGAGTAGCTGGCATCAGAATCTGTGGGAAATTCTTTCCTTGACTCAGAAATCACTACACTTGAGGGTATTTGCTATTCAAGCTTGGCTGCTGCCTCGTAGGTCCCCTTTTCTGTTCATTTCCATAACTTGCTGCCATCATTTTACTTTAACCCTGTGGTAAATGCCTGACAGATCTATAGCACACAAGATTGCTGGAACTGAAAGGTAAATTTGCTGTAGAATATTTAATTTGTTCAGTTGGTCTCTGACTTATTGAGGTGGTGTCTTTATTCATTCAGATAGTATAAGGTTTGCCATTCACTTGTTCTGCATTTATCAAGCTCTTGTTATGTTTCAGGCCCTGTCCTAGGCCACCAGCAAACAAGAACAAGTAAGGCCATTTTCCTGGCTGTCAGGGTTCTAGGTCTAGTTGGGGAGACAGATGAGAACATATACAACAGGTGTCACAGGGGCTTTTATAAAAGTGTATGCAGGGCGAGTCCTGGTTGTTTGAGAGAGGTGAGGGCAATAGGCGTGTTCCCGAAGAGCTGAAAGAGGGGGTGGTATTTGCTGGAGAGCCATGCTAGGAAAGGCTTGCCTGGTGGAGGAGGAGCACGGTGGGGGGGGGGTGCAGCTGGGCACATCCAGGGCAGGGCCGGCAGTCGGCAGGCGGGAATGGGGTGCAAAGGAGGACAAGGATCAGAGCAGGGTGGCAGAGAGGGGGAGAGGTAGGAGCGGGGTGGCAGAGGACTCTGGGCTAGCAGTGGGTTGTGAGCTTTGTCCTATATTTATAAAGACATATTTACAAGGATAAACCCTCAGTGGGGGGTTTTGAGCGGTTTGGGTTTTGGAAAGATAACTCAAAGCAAGTGTATGAAAGAGATGGAAGCCAGTGTACTAGGGCGTAGGAGATGATGGGATCCCACGTGAGGGCTGTAGCGGCGGGATGGAGAGAAGGAGAGAGCCGACAGAAGCAGCGCCGGTTTCTGGCCTATCTGGGGGGCAGTGGCAGCAGACGTGAGATCAGGATCCGAAAGAAGAAGGTGACAAGTTCACTTACCAAAATGCTGGTTTCTAGGGCTATGGTGGACATGTAGGCAGAGACAGCCATGGTCATGAAGGGTGAGTCGGGGGCTGGAGCGGGGTGTCTGCACTGGGAGCTGGGAGAGCGGCTCGTGTGTCTGCCCTGTTGGGGAGACCCCTATGCTGAAGCCATGGACTGCCTGAGGGGGGCTGGGAAAGCACACTTGGATCTCCGAGCTGAGAACCGTAAGGGCGACTTGACAACATACTTCCAAAGCACAACACTTCCATTCTTACTTCAGTTCACATACCTACACTTCATAGCATAATTCTTACTGGGAACACCAGAGTACTGGGGGCAAAGGAGGAGGCAGTGTGCTCCTTCTCTGGGGCTCAGTGAGCCAGGTGGGTGCAGACGCCTGGGCAGGAACTCTCAGAAGAGCTGGGGACTCGCTGGAGCCATCCCTCCCTGAAGCCCCAGTTGTGTGGGGTTGGAGAAACCAGTGGAGCTGCCTGCCCCATTCTCCCAGGGCGGGGGCAGTAATGGGCCCTCACCCCACGGCCCCTCCGTCCCCTCAGTTGGACTCTCGTCCACTGGGGACTGCCTGGCTGTTAGCTAAATGTTGACATTTTGTTTTAAGAAGTAAACAGATGATTTTGCAGTAGTTACGCCGTGTGTGTCGGGCAGCATGTGTGTCATGGTGGTTATAAAGGTCATCCCAAATTGAGTGTAATTATATACTATGGATGTTTTCATCAAACACAGAACAGTTTCTATTTATAACACAGTTTCCACCATTAAGTAGGTCTTTCAGTGCATGTGGCGTCACATTTCCGGACATACAGAAAGATGGCAGTGTTCTGCAGGGGCCCCCCTGGCACGCTGGCCAAGCCACCGACATACGTTGCTCAATGCCAGACTCAAGTGGAGCAACCCTGGGACATTTAGCCACATGATAAATTACTATATTCTTGCTCTTGGGAGAGAATCGCAGACCCATATTTGGACGTAATTCTGTAAAGAACTGCTGAGATAGAATCACGTTAGAGCAGACTGCCTGGTGTCACCTCTCCCCTCAATTCTCCTGCCAAAGCCTAGATGAGCAGTTTTCACTTTTACTTGGGATTTAAAAGTGGAAAGCAGCTTGTTCATAACTAAGCTCCTTCTATTACACAGAGAAGATAATTTTTTCAAATCCATGTGATAGAGTCCGTGAGAAAAGCAGTATGTACAGACCGCAGTAGGCCGGTGAGTGGGTTTTGGACTCTCCAGCTGGTGCTGGAGGCTCCATCGGGGGCACAGACGCAAGTCCAGGGCGCACAGAGCGGACTGGTCCACACGTAGAGCTGGGGGGACAGCAGGTGCCCCTGAGGCCCCCTGAGCCGGCCAGGAGCAGAGCATAGGATCGGGTCCCGCCACCTCCTCGCATCACCTCCTGGTGCAGGGCTCACAGGACCCATTATGCATCTTTGTCCTGCCCTTGGTGGAGCTTGTGAAGTGTTGGTTATGTAGGTATTTTGTGTGGCCTTGGAGGGTGCATAGCAGCATTTAAAAAAGATTATTGCTTTCTGTTTCTGCGATCCCAAAGCACGTCCCAGCCCTGCTTTAAGTGGTGTATTTAACTGTGGCTTTTCCCTCCCCTGTAGGGCATCGTGTTGGCGCTCACAGAAAGTAACTTCGATGACACCATTGCAGAAGGAATAACCTTCATCAAGTTTTATGCTCCGTGGTAAGTGGCTGTTTAGTTAGCAACTGCTTTGTCCTGCTGCACTGATGTCACATCATAGTTTTCAAGTCATAAAGCCCTCCAGGCTCCGTGTTGCCAGGTAGTACATTTACTTGTAGGTTATGTTGTAGAAAATAAGGAAATGTTAGCATCATGCTCCCATATTCAGATATGTGAAGGTTCGGTGGGATTCATAAAGTTATGGTGAATGAGGTGGATTCATTTGAAAGTCCAGTCTGTTTTGGAGTAAACAAAAATGGAGGAGAATTAAGGCCATAAAAAGACTTAAATTCTGTGGCATCCGTGTACTTTTCCATATAGATTGCTCTTTTGGCTAAATCGGCCACAAACATCATGATATAGCTTTGCTCCTTAGTGTCTTTTAGATGTTGTAGGGAACTCCAGGAGCGCTCCCGTGTTAGCTGCGCAGGGCGTTCCTGTTCCTGAGCCCTCCGTCCCCGTGGCCCTGGGGCAGAGAGAGGGGTGGGATGTCCCAGTGGGGGGCTGAGGTGCCTGCTCTGAGGCTTAGCGTGGGCTTCTGTGCCTCTGGTGTCCCTGCCTTCCCCGGACCCTCAGTTTTATCAGCTCCAGAATGGGAAGAATGCTTTGTCCACAAATGAAATAGTCCATTTAGAAAAGCAGAGGGTCAGGGAGCATGTTAGATTCTGTTCCTACAGGCAGAGTGTTCAGTGCCGCTGCTTCGTCTTAGTCAAGTAAGGTCACTGCCTGTCAGTTTTGCTTCTCAGTTTGCTGCATGCCGGGTATTCATGAGAAACTGTGATAGATAAAATGTTAGCGAGCACATGGCTCACGTGAGTTATGCAGTTTTTATTCTTAAAGAATAGAAATGCTGGTAAAGAATGCCCTTAAAACTAGTATTTTCTGTTTTTCAAGAAATGGAATTATGGTCATAAAAAACAAGTTTTGTGGTACCTGTGTGCTTTTCCAAATAGACTGCTGTTTTGGCTGAATAAACCACAACCATGATGATGTAGCTTTGCTTTAAAACTAGTATTTTCTATTTGTTACAAAACCTAAAGCTATATAGATCAGGTATTAGGACAGCAGATCCTCTATCCTGAAGGGGAGCAGTTCACATGGTTGGGGGAGGGTCGGCAAAGGGATACAGTGACAGGTAGGAGGGAAGGCTTGAACAAACTTAGTGGCCTCAGTGCTTCCTCCAAGCTCTGAAGTTTTTTTGAAATTTTTCGACAATAAGTAATCAACTTTAAAATGTTTTTGGCATTCAAGCGATTTAGAAAAAAATGTTTGGAGTCTGTTTTGTTTCCTGTCCATGTCCTGCTCACGGTGTGTGCATTCATAAGCCAGGTAACTCAGTTTACCTTCTCGTGGTCTCAGAATCTCAGCTTGTTTCCAGACAGGCTTGTGTCTATCAGGCTGTCCGAAGGTCTGCTTTGGCCTGACTGTGCATTCCTTGTCTGGGATGGGGGAGGAGGAGGAGGGGCAGTCAGTGCACCCAGTGGGAGAATTGGACGTTTTGTAATCTTTAGGCAATTGCTGACCACCTCACACAGAAGAAACAAGGCTTGGCTTGGCAGTGAAATGTAGGTGAGTGACCCAAGACTTCCACAAAGCTGTCGTTGTTCTGTTCCTAGGTGTGGTCATTGTAAGAATCTGGCTCCTACTTGGGAGGAACTCTCTAGAAAGGAATTCCCTGGTTTGGCAGAGGTCAAGATCGCTGAAGTGGACTGTACCGCTGAGCGGAACGTTTGCAGCAAGTACTCGGTGGGTACGCGTGGATGGAAACCCTTACGGGGCCCTCTGAGTATTGGCAGCAAGTGGAGCTGTAATCTGGTGCCATGGACCGAACCAAGATAACTCAGGCTGCCCTCATCCTCAACAAAGGTTTTTTGTGTCCTTTTGAGGTGGTTTTTTTTTCCATTTTAAAAGGCAAAAGAGTTGCTCTGTCAAAGGCAAGTCTTTCTTCTTCTGTTAGTAGCACATTTGAATGGGGTTTTTAGGCCTTGCCATCTGGCTCTAAGGCTGGGCAGTAACTGACACTCCAAGCTTAGCCACCTCCATGGCAATTCTTCTTGGCTGGGCAGTCAGCTGGCCTGTAGCCTTCATCATGAACACCTAAGTGGCTTATTTTGCAGACATAAGCCTGCTTCCTAAGCACAATTAGCTGAACAAAGGAAACGTTTGAACAAATTTCCTTCTTCAAGAGCCCTACCATACTAACAAGCCAGCCTTGTGTGTGGGTTAACTGTTGCCTTCTTTCTGAGCTGTTCACACAGTCTAATACCCTAGAAGATTTGTAATTTATATTTTTCCTCTTGTGTTGTTTTCTTAAAATGCTTTTGAGGCCTCTGAAGTTTATCATTACCTCATGAGAATAGATACAGCACAGACATCATTTACTTATCACTAGAAGATGCCAGTCATTTTCTTGTCCCTTAAAATTCTTGAGAGAAAAGAGGTGACTCGCAGCTGAAAAATGTGCATCCTTGGGTATCTTGCTACTACTCCATATAGTCACTGTTGGGCCTGAGCATCACTGGGGAGCTCCTCTGAAATGCAGAGTCTCAGGCCCCACTGCTGAGTCAGTATACACATGTCACCACGTGAGAGATTGACCAACCCCACTTTCTGGTAAAGTCATTCTGTTGACACCAATCTTGAATGTAGTTTTGTATTGGAAAGTGAATAAATTGCCTCAAAGCTTTGCTTTCTCAAATCTGGTACTTTGTAGATGGTCTATACATTAAAAAAAAGTTAATCATAGACTTTCCTGACCACAGCTGTAGGAGTTTTTCTGTTTTTACTTAAGCCATTTGTGGGTGATTTGGACCACTAGTTTTCAAACTTGTAATATTTTTTTCTTAAGGTACGAGGATATCCCACACTGTTGCTTTTCCGTGGAGGAGAAAAAGTCAGCGAGCACAGTGGAGGCAGAGACCTTGACTCGCTGCACCACTTTGTTCTGCGCCAGGCAAAAGATGAACTGTAAAGACCCAGGTGGGAGTCGCCTCTACTGCCTGGCCTCCTGTGCCCAGCGCAGGAGCTAAGTCATGTGGGTAATGCTGAGTTTCAAACGGTGGTTTTTCAGAGAGCTGAATGTACTCAACTTGTGGTATCTTCTTTGTGTGTGTGTGTGCGTGTGCTTGTGTGTATGTGTGTGTTTAAGCCAACACACTCTACTGATTCTTTATTAAGTTTCTCTAAGTAAACATGTAACTCATGATTCCTTTGCAAACCAAATATTTTCAGTGGCGATCTGTCATCCCCTTTAACCTTCTCTTGATGAAATCTAAATGGTTTCCTTTGAGACTAAAATAGAGTTGAGGAAAATCAAATTGCTGGACTATTTTTGGCTCCTGAATGATTTTGGTGAAAACATCATCGAATGCAGAGTTTGTGAACTGCCCACGAGGTCAGGAAAGGTGGCCTTGTGGCGGTACTGATGTTCCTCTGATCTGAAGGTCACAGTTGACCTATTAATAATGTGGTTTGTCTGTAGCCTGGAGCAGATTTAAAAACAAAAACCCCACACCTCTGGAAGGTACCTTCATGGCCGCTCTGGGTTTTCTGTCTCTGTTACTACTTCTCTCATTGTGAGAGGTTAGCCATAATGTATGCAGTGGTACTTTTAACACGTGCCTAAGTAAGATAATGCCAATGCCATAATTTTATGTGTGTGTCGATGATTGTCAAATCAGTTAACTATTCAAGGGATACCTCCGTTTATTTCTTGTGGGTGAAAGAGTTGATTAGTTATGTTAGCCAGAGTCCATGTGAACTTTAAGACTTGATCTCCCATGGAAAATGTGGACATGGAAAGTTCCACAAGGCTTGTTCAGACTGTGCTGTTAACTCCTAGATTCTGGCTGTATTTGCCACCTGGGGCCGGAGGACTGGATGAGCTATCTCAGGTCTGGGTACCAGGGGCCCTAAGTGGAAGCAGCTTCAGACTGTGCTCCCAAGTAGTGTTGTAGAGGCTTTACCATACTTGGTCCGCCTCTGAGGAGATCGACGTGTTGCTGTATGAAGAGTGGCATTAACCTGACCTCAAGACCAAAAACTGAAGTTGGCAGAGCTGTGTCAGGGCTAAAGTATGCCAGGCTGCTGTCGATGCTAGCATCTTTATAATTCATGCCATCCTGGTTATTACATATTTACCATCACCCTTGGAAATAAGCGGCAGTGGGACTAGGCTCTCTGGAGATATGCACTTTACCATTGGGTTCCTTCTTGTAATCCGCCCTCTGTGGCTGACACTCATCACCCCACCTCCTGTGCTCAGAGGGGTGTGAGCCCTTGGCACAGTAATGGTGGTAGGAATCTTAGAAATAGACCACCTCCACCATCTGCGGCAGAAGACAACAGAGCAGGATCTCAACCAGCCTCTGCCTTAAAGGAAATCTTTATTAATCATGTATGGTTCACAGATGTTCTTTTAAAAAATCTCAACTTTCTAAAGAAGCACAATCCTCAAGAGTGGCTTCAGCTTTGCATCATGAGTCTTGTAATAAAGAAAATCAAAGTGGTACAATTTGTTTACACTATGATACTTTCTAAATAAACTCTTTTTTTAAAAAAAGTCTGGTCTTTCCTTCATGTTACAGCAAAACAGATACAAAAAAGACAATAAATTATAGTTTATATTTACAAAAAGCTGTAAGTGCAAACAGTTTTAGATTATAAATGTATTATTTAATCAGTTTAGTATGAGATTGGTTTTCTAGTATATGATTGTGAAAGACATTTGAAAAATACTCTAAGATTTAATCTGAGTCTTACTTTCTACAAGAGAAAATTGATTTGGGTTCATAAACACCATGCCCACCTGGACCTGTTCTCAAGGGCGGGGTGCCCCCTCCTCCTCTGATGTTCTCTGTTGGCTCTAGCCCTGCGAACAGGATGTGCGGCATAGGGAAGAGCAAAGAACTAACTGTTTTAGGGAAACAGATAAGATGCTAGAGCCACGTTTCTGAAGCTAACGTGCTTTTCAAAGAGCTTTTCCAAAACAGACGCAAAACTACTTTCATATCACGTGGTTAAATGTGGACGATTACAGACGCTTCTCACCTTTGTGGCCTCACCCCAAAGTACAATTCCTCTGCTTTGGAGACCAGCAAAGAAAACAGCAAACGGGAGGACTGAAGTGTGGAAATGATATGGTATGTTTTGACTGAAATAAGTGTATTTTCACACCAAGCAAAACTTGAGCACAAACATGTAACAGCAATGACTGAGACAAAAGGCACTTCCACAGAACCCTGGTTATGACCCTACATGAAACTGACCTTCCTGGGCATGAAATCTATGAATAGAAGCATTTTTCCCCCAATTTCTGTTATCTGTAAAAATCTACCTTTGAGAAACTGTTCAGAACCAACTGATTCCTGATTTTAAGATTATTTTCCCTATTTACTGACACCACAAATACCTTAATCTAAAGCTGAAATGAATATTGGGGGGAGTATGGGAACCCTTCAAAATTATGTTTCTGCAGTTACCAGACTTCATCCTACAGACATTCAAATTCAGCTTCCTACAGACCAACAACTACTTATTTACTATGAGGGCAAATTACTAACAAGGTCCTTTAAAATCTTCTTTGCGCAGTAAGGCACCAACCAGCGTGAGATGGTTTCAAGTCTTATCGTCCCACTTCACTGGGCTTCTGTGTGTTTTTAAGGCAGATGTAATCTAGGAATCCAAGTTTGTGTCCCCAGCAACTAGTTTCGAGTTAGTGGCATCCACAAGCTCTTACAACCATATTCCTGTATTTTTTCAAGATGACATTGGAGTTGTCATCAAAGTACAGAACGGAGATGGCGTTTAGCTTAGTTGGGGCACAGCATGGTTTGGGGACATACTCAGGATTCATAAGGTGAACCTGTTCCAAAACAAAAGGAGGGAAAAGGGCCGTTAGAAACTATCTGTTCTTGGCTGACTTCTACCTAGAAAATGAAAAAGGTCTTCCAGAGCTCACCAGAGTCTGGACAATGGCGTGGTTTGTGGCATTCATGTGTGCGTTGAGCGGGAAGGAACATTCTCCATCACAGTAATTGGCAGCATAACCCTTGGGTGCGATGATCCAGTCCTTAATTCAGAGCAAAAGGAAGCAACAAAAAAAGTGATTAACATGCGTTCTTTACATCTCTGTGCCCTTAGCGACCCTATGAGGAGGCATTACCTTGGACAGTAAGGAGACAAGCAAGTAGGTCAAGTTCACATTCAGGTGGCAAAGCTAGGGTGTGAACCTGTGTGATGTGACCCCAGAGCCCTGGCTCCTTCCACAGGCCCACAAGGCCTTTAGCCCCTGCCCGCCCACTTGGTCTAGAAGCATGCAGTTAGCTGGCTTGATGGACTTGGACCAAAAGGAGCCTCCCCAGGAGCCTCGAGCACTCCCTGTCATCATGCCACCTGCAGATGGAAATAATTTTCTATCTCTCATCACCTATGATTTGCTTCTTATAAATCTGTGGTGGATCTAAGTGTAGAGCAAAACATTGTGCTCTTGTGCGGAGTTTGGATGAGCCAATTTGTAGCCACTGGAGAAGTTAACTATTAGATCAGTTCTGCTAACCTTTTCTCAAAACAATTAAAATTAGTTTACATACACACATGCACCATGAACTTTGAAGCATATTGGGAAATGTGATTGATTTTCAGGAACACAGAATTCAAGGACCCTGGCTCCCTGGAAAGGTGCCAGTGGGGTCTTGGTGCACAAGTTAGCTGGGCCTCTTTCTCTTATTCCAGAAGCCCAGGCATTTGGAAGAGCTCCTAGGTACATTCACAGGAGGGACTACCTCAGCCCTGAATCTCAGGGTGTTTTCTGATGGCTGCCGCCGTTAATATGGGAAGAGACTGCTGAGAAAGGACCATTGTCCCCTTTGTTGTCAAGAGAACTCACCTGCCATCCCAAGTCTTGGAAGCTTACATAAAGCTCATGCTTCCTGCAGGCTGTTTTTAATTCACTGCTGTTGTAATCTGTTGGGGGAGATCACAAGATGCACCTATTAACACATACATTCCTTCATTTAAAACTTATAAGAAGAGTTTTCCGTGGGCCACTGGAAACTGTACAGGCTCAGGTTAGCAGTGAACATGGCCCTGCCAGACCCAAATTTGGTCACTTAATAGCTCCCTCGTGTTCCCAATCGCTTGGATGTTTCGTGCACTCCGTCTTGTTCACTCTGCAGTTAAGGCTGGGCACACTGGCATGCAGTCCATAATCAGTGACTTAAATATACCCCTTCAAGCAACAGATGTTTCTTGTGGGCCCCTGTTGTGTGCAAGGCCTATGGGGGGTGGTGTGCCAAGCTGCCCAAACTCCCCTGGGCTCCTGACTTGGAAGATGTCATATTCACAGAAAAAAAGTGACTACCAGGAAGGATTTGCTGTATTTCAAACTAGGAAGGACTTGAAGCTGCACAGGGGCTGTGAAGATAGCTGCTGGGTCAGGAAGGCATCCTGAAGGAAGTATAATGAGGGGAGCCTAACCAGGAGGCCCAGGAGGGGGTAGAGGGAGACACTGTAGCAGGGGACCACTCTCTCAAGCGTTGTTCTCCATCCAGCCTTGCTGCCAAAGTTGAGCCCTTTGACCTGCACTAAAACAACAACTCTGAGGACAGTAGTGACTGTGATAATCTGCTGAGCATGTGCACCTGCCCCTTATGATTAAGGAGCTGCTAGCTTGGCTCAACCTAATCATTAGCAAGAGAAATGGGAGAGCCTGGATTCATTTAGTCCACTTGGAGCAGCTCTTGTGTGTCATGCTGTCTGTTAGGCACTACAGGAAATAGGAAGATAAGTAGACAAGGCTTCCATCTTCCAGGAACTTAAGAGAACTGAATGGATGGTGTGTGATATGCAAGAAACTAACTCAAATACCAATCAGAATCTGTTGCTTTGGGCAAGGGTGATGGCGAAATCCCACTGGGAGGCCAGAGGAGGGAAGTTAACTGTGGGAGCAAAAGGGTACGTGAGTAATTCTGGTGGAATGAATTTAGGGATATATAAAGAGAAATCAGTAAGATAAAGTTGGAGAATTGAATGGCCTAGAATGCCAACCAAAGTGATTTGGGCTTTCTATACCAAAGGCATTAAATAAACCTGTGAAGGCTTTTGAGCCAAAGTGACATGTTCAGAGCTAGGATTCTAAAGGATCCATCTGATAGTGGTGTTTGAGTTCTAGAGAGATGAAAGGTGAGGAGAGGACCCTGAACAACAACAGTTCTTAACTAAAAGGAACTTCAAGGGATACAATGACCTGAGACTATTTACATGCTACCTTTGCCCTTTATAATCACATGGGCTAATAAGTTACCTGATTGTTTAAAGCCCATTTGAATTAGGTTTTCTGTTGCACTCCTGGAACTCCTGCCCCTTCACAATAGAAGGATATCCTTTAGCGTATTGAAGTAAGATAGAATATGCAGATTCACAATTTTGTAAGGGAAAGAGACAAAACAGTACCAAATCAGCTCAGTTAACTATCCTGGGAGAAGAGTGAGACTATGTTTTTGAGGTGGTTTGCTGATTTTAAATGTATTCACCTACCTGCCTCCTTCAACTCACAGAACAACCCTAGATGTAACTTCAAGTACCAAGAAGAAGCAGATGCAAAACTACACTGGAGGGAAATTCTCACTATGTTGGGTACCAAGGGCTCTCTCAGTAAAAAGAACCACCTACCCACCACCACCAAAAAACAAGATAAAGACCTGCTGAAAATAATCCCTCAACAAAAAAATGAATCAACCATACAAAGAAATAAACTATCCCAAGAAGAGAACTGGAATTCAAGAGGGAGAGAGCATAGGGCTCCAGAGACCATAAGCAAGAGTAGCCTGAGTGAGGTTACAAAAAGAATATCAAAAATAATTCAAGAGAAAATGAGGAATACAAGCTCTAAAGTGGGACATTATGGAAAAAATATGATAAAGAACAGGTAGATTTGAAAGAAAACCAAATAGAACTTTATAAAAACCATAATCATTGAAGTTAAAAAATGAAATGGATTGGTTAAACATCAGACATAGCAGAAGAATTGAACAATATATTTAAAGAAGCTTCCCAAAAATATATCCCAGAGTCAAATGGCCAGAAAATCCCTCTCTAAAGAGATAATGGAAGATAGAATGAAAAGTCTAACGTATTTCTGATAGGAATTTCTGAAGAGGATAATAGGGAAGAAGTAATATTTGAAGATATAAATGTCTGAGAATTTTCTAGAACTGAGAAAAGGCAAGCATCTGTATATTGAGAAGGCACAATGGGTCCTAAGAAAAGTCAATAAATTCTTATTTAGCTACATATGGTGAAACAGTAGCATATCAAATGCAAAGAGAAATTCTTAAAAACAACCCAGACATAGAAAAGAAAATTACCTATAAAGGAACAAAGTAGGTTGATAGCAAATTTCTTAGCAACAGAAATACACAGTATAAAAAGATACATAATATAGGAATGGTGCCATCAACCTAGAATTCCATACCTAGCTGTAGTGGATATTTATTGTTTTGGTTACCTAGCTTATAGGAGCACTTCTCATTTGGGGGAATTCCTAGATTTTTGGGAATCAAGGCCTCATTTCCCATAACAGATAGCTCTAGCCTTTGACCACTGGCAGCTAGAGTACAGGCTCATGACTTTATTAAAGCTAATTAGATGACCCCACCCTTGAGAAAGTGACTCAAAGTAGAAACTAAGAATGGGTGGCATGGCAGCAAGTGTCTGGAGTCATGGAATCCAAACCACACTGTCCTTGTAACAAGATCCAAGCTTGGTCCCTTGATTCCCTGAGTTTGGTTTTACAGCCTTCGTGTTGGTCGGTAAGTTTCCTAATACTCTTATTTTCCATTTTAGTTAGAGTCGGCTTCTCTTTCGTGTTGCTCCTACCCTTGCCAACAGTTCTGGTCATCTGCAAAGCTTCCGTTAACCTGACTCTCTCAACTCTCAACAAAGGGAACTCTCCATTTGAATAGCTATTTCTTTTAGAGCTAGACACTGGCATTTTTGTTATTAAGTAGTGATCAACTCCAGTGAGAGGAAAGGGAGGAATTCAACTCTATTTTCCTTCTTACAGACACTTCCAGGACACACTTAACTTTCTTTGTAATTTCATGTTACTTGCTGGCAAAGAATGCATAAATACTCGTGACAGTCACTGGCCCTGAAAATACTTGTGTCTACCACTCAGGGGTTGGTACCCTGGATTCTTCAGAATTACACTGCCATGCACTCTTTCATTTTGTTTTATGTTTTAGGGATAGATAGATTGCAGAAAAACATTCTTCTGCCTCTGCCCTTGATATTTGTTGAGATGAATGGTCTAGATAGGACCAGTGAAACTTTATGCAGTTAAAATTTAACAGGAACATATCCAGTTCAGGGGGATAAAGGAAGGCAACACAACTTTGTCCAAATGGGTTCACCAGTCAAGGGCAAGACAGAGAAAGGAAGCCAGATTGTTGGAAAGAGGCAAAGACCAAATAAACAAACAAAGCAAACAGACCAGAGCAACAGACCAAGGCTGATAAAACCATCCGAGGGCCACCGTCCTCAGTCTGATTCACGGGCCACCTGTGCCCAGTTCATGAGAACCATCCCAAGGCCCTGAGTCAGAATCACTGGGAGTGGGTGAGTCTGTGGACAGTACAAGTGTGAGACACTGCCCTCTAGACCAGAGGCTCACATGCAGTGACGGCATCACCCCTTTCACACAGTGTCCGTCTTCGTGCACCAGGGCTCCCTGGCATTCCAGGCATTGAGCTGCAGTGACTGCTGGTCTTGGTCCTGAGAGTAATTTTCAAGGGATCTGGCTTTTTAAAAATTGAACATAGAAAGTAAAATCTGGCTGTCCAGTCGTTCCATGCAATTCTTTGGTCTAAGGGTAGAGGGAGGGCAGGTGCCCAGCAAAGCAGCTGGGATGCTGGCCCAGGCGGACCAGGCCCAAGGTGGTCATCCAGAGTATCCTGGACAAGCCAGGCCCAGCCACGGGGGTTTAGGCAAAAAACTGTTAGGTGATCAGGTAACAAAATCTAACCATTGTAAGAGCCCCATGACTAATTTCTTTTGTAGCCAGAAGAAGGCAGTTCTCCTATATTCCTAAACAGGAGAGAAACATTCTCTTCACCATATATTTTCAAGCATCAGCTTTATCAGAAGGATATGAATTGCCTTGAGCAACGCTGTTTTCCATATTCCACTTTTACAAACTGCTTCAACAGAGACACGTTTGGATAGGACTGCTTTTTAGAACCCAGTCCCTCCTCTCTTCTCCAAGTCAACACTACAGACATTTAAACATGGGTTTTAAATGGAGATTTAAGGCGGTTTCATCTCACAGCTTGGGGTGGGTGGGGACCACCATGCACGGAGTATCTGAGGCGCCACCCTGGGTGGAGGGGAGAAGTTTTAGGGATGTTTGCCCGAGTGGAGATCCTCCTGCAAGAACCTTCCATGCTGTCAGGGGAGCAGCACCGAGACCGGAGCAGAGACGGGCGTGGTCCCACCTAGAAAGAAGGGCAAGCAGAGCAAACCTGGGGTTCAGAGCCAGGCCGCAGCACCCACAGCAGGTCTTTATTAAGCCGTTATTCTTGCAGTGCTTCCCAGGGGAGGTTTGCATCACACCCAGGCCTTCCTGGACCATGAAACCAGCGGTCCAGAAACATGCAGGAGTGATCACAGCCATTCCTGACCCCCAGCCTGGTGGCTGGTATCTCCCATTCTCCACTGCTGGTGGTGACGAGAGGCGAGGCAGTCCAGCTGGTCAGCTGTCTTGGGATGAGACAGCCACTCCATCCACGGCTCCAGCGTCCCTCTCCCCAGCCTCAGGTGTGTCTTTATTCTTCATCATCTTAGGATGTCATCGAGGGGCCTGGTACCCTGGCAGGCACTGAGAGGCCATGAGAAATGAGCAGTACAGAGGGATGCTTTCCTGGAGCTCAGCTGATGGGCAGGAGGGCATGTGATCAGGCATCTGG